TCAATATTTACTGAATGGAATATTGCGATATGTTCAGCTCACGAGAAATTTTTCGGTCACTGCGACGCGGCTTTCGATCAAGTCGCTTCCTTACTTTTCGATCAATTAAAAATGTTAATAAAATCTTCCAAAAATCTCAAATTGTACTATGGGGCTATGTCAAAAGTTTTTTTTTTTTTTGATAAAATTCAAACGACCATATACTTTTCAAGACATTTCTCATGCTATTTTGCTCTGTAGTCACGAATTCTATATTTGAGGCCTTAAATCAACGCTGGGCTTCTGATTTAAAAGTCATCTAATAATGAATGTACTACATAGACCCAAAGAAAGTTTATGTTTTCAATTATTTCAAAACAAAGTGGGAAGTAGATATTTTTTCAAATTTCATATAACTCTACGGGTATTTATTTGACGATTTATTTTGAAAATTAAGTAGGAAGCAAATTTTATTGAGTATTGAAAAAGAACTCCCACTTTTATTTTGTCATCCCTTGAAAAAAAAAACTGGTCATTAACTTACTTTCCCTATTTCCAAAACTGAAAATCCAAGATAAAGATTACCGCCACACCATTGTGTGGGCGCCCACCACAAACATATTTGTTGAATGCATTTTTTCTCTGACGGCATTGTAAATTGTATTCAAATGTCAGATCTTACACACTACTACTTAGAGTAGTAGTCGTTAATATCGCCCACTTTTATTTTTAGCATCCAACAACTGGAAAGCGTAACATGATTTTGAATATAATTTTTTTTTATAAATAGATTTACATATTGTCAAATTTTAGAGTATATTTTTGAAGGTTACATAAATTACAAGAAAAGAGAACAAAAGAGAGGGAGAACATTTTGTCTATAAGGCACATTTTTTATTTTGAGTATAGTTCATATTTTGATGACTTGAATGTTAATGTTTATATAGTTCAAGCCGGTCGGCCACCCATTAACAAATTTGCGAACATTTTCTGGACCATGATATCTCTCGAAGGGGCGATCACAATTTATCATCCATTGGCCATTCAGCAACTAAAGGCACATTTTCACAGTAAAATTATCTCTCGAAGAGGTGATAGCAATTGTTCATCCATTGGCCATTCCGCAACTAAAGGCACATTTCCACAGTAAAATTATCCAACCTAAAACATTTTTTTTTTCAAAAAACAATAAAAAATAATATTGGCGCCCAATTGCTTTTAAACTCTTAATGTCTGCCAAAATATAGTATTTTATTTTTTTTTGGGATTTTGATCCTTCATAAGATATATTTAAGGGTATTTTTATTAATTTTTATAAGAACACATTTACGCTCTTCTTTAAGAAATATATTAAAATTGTAAGTCACTTTATAGCAAGTCATTAAAACAAGAGGCAGAAACAAAAATAATTTAATTACAAATGTCATAAAAACCCTACATATAAACTTATTGTCTTACAAATAGAATTTAATTCTTTTGTTTATTATTTTGTAATTCTTTGTTTACATAAAAAGCGTTAATCAAAACAAGCTTTTTTATAACAAATCAAAAAACAGGGTGATTGTGTCAAGGTCATTTTTGATAGTTTGTTGCTTTAATGTTTTTTGTTTTGATTTCATTTATTTATATTTGAGTGTATGTACTCGCCCATAAATGTGTTGCAAAGTATCAACAAACAATTAAATATTACAAACACATACTCGCCTGTGTTAATTGTTAACAAGCCAAAACAATTGAAACAAAAGCGCGGCCTAGGTGACAAAATCGTTAAACAAAATTGATTGTCTTGATATGAGCTTCTGTTTTGGATGGAGGAGGGAATACAAAAAGAAACTGTTGAATATGGTAACGGTTACAAGTTGATTTTTTTTATTTGATTTCAATATATTCTGTGGGCATATTTTATTTCAGGAATATTCCGAATGAACAAATCATGGACCTCACAATACAAAAAGGTTGGATAAATACTTGAGATATGCTGGATAAATATTAAGTAAAATTCGCAAATTTCATTCCATTCCAAATTCATTCCTATTTTTCCATAATTTCTCATCGTACGATTGGCATCTATTTGTTAAAGAGCTTCTAAACCCAATACTATAATTCCGCAAACTACTGTGAAAAAGCTGATTTATTATCTGTTAGACAGCATTTCCCTGTTGGCAGTGAATTTAATCTTACAGGTTATAATTTCCCATTCCGGGTTATTGGGGGCTATGCAGAATATAAGCAATATGAATAAAATTAGTCAACATGTCCCATGCGCATTTAGCTTCAATATCAAATGTTCTTCAAATATACATTTTGATAAGTTTTCTATATATAGGGTGAAATAAAAAAAACTGCAACCAACTTCAGACTGCTGTCATTTCTAAGCCACTTGTCTGACAGCTGTTAGAATTATTCCAGGCGTACAAAACCATTTTGGTTTTGTTTTCTCAGATAAATAAACATTCGTTGTCCAGCAGTTTGTAAATAAACAAAATGATCGTGTTTACTTGCCAAAGAGGTCAGCTGTAAATGTGCACCTTCGGTTGGCCACCAGAACTCAAGCGCCGGCCATAACAGCCGGTGGTCGCTCTCCGCTCGTACTTATTGACCTTGGCATCAGAATAAATGCCCAATATTATTGCGAAAATATTCTAGAGGGTGTATTGAAGCCTTGGGTACACAAATATTTTGGCCGCAGACCTTGGACATTCCAACATTAATCAGCACTATCGCATTCAGCACGCGCCACCCAAGAATGGTTACAAAATGAGGATCCTCGCTTCATTTCCAGCGCACAATGGCCACCAAAATCTCCGGATACCAATCCGATGGACTATTGTGTGTGGAGTATTTTGGAAAGCAATGATGGCACTAAAAATATAAAAGTGTCGATCACCTCAAGCAAGCGCTTCGCCGGGAATGGGCCAAAATTCGTGCCAATGTTGACCAATTTGAACAAATCTAAACTTATTCTAAAATTTGATGATATTTCCGACATTTTTTATTATCATAATTATTAAACATCTTTGACAAAATTAACAAGATTAGAGCAATCGGCATATTTGTGATAAACACTTATATAATAATAAATTCCGTGATCATTGTCATATCAGAGATCAATAACGGGTGTAACTTGAACTATGTCATGCATTCCCATAATTTCCCATCGTACGGTTGCCATCTATTTGTAAAAGAATGCCTGGTACACAAACCATGATTCCTCAGAATCAAGAAGTATATATTTCATGCAAACGTTTGTGATTGAACGAACGATTAAATAGTTCGGATAGCTAAAGAATAACAAGTGAACTCTAAATAACGATTTTAACTAGTTCACTTGCTCTTTCATCTGAACTAGTTCGTTCGCGATCTATACATCTCTATTAGACATACAGAGATAAATCTAGAATTGTTAACAGATTAAAGATATGTTCTAGAAGATATACCAAAGGCAATAATAATAAAATTCTTCGACAAAGGTCGTAATTTATGATATGCTGAAGTTTCTATACCAATTATAAACGAATTATTCCATGGAATTATATTTGAAAACGGATGTGCTTATTCTCACTGATCTTTTTGAAAATAGTTCGGATTGCTACAAAATAACAAATTAACTATAAAGAACGACTTTCACTGAACTAGTTCACTTGCTCTTTCAACTGAATCGTTCATCTGAACTAGTTCGTTCGCGAACTATATCTCTATTAGGCATACAGATATAAATCTAGAATTGTTAATCGATTTAGATATGCACAATTTTATTATTAGAAATGATATTCGAGAACGTCTTAACCAATGTTCTAGAAAATATACCAAAGATTATAATAATTAAATTCTTCGACATAGGGCGTCATTTATTCTTTCTAGCCCAATATTCAATTTTGAGGGTTAGAAGTTTGATTTTTCATTTTTATAAGGACTATAATTTACCATGGCATCGATTTTAGGTATTCAACTTTATGGTTGAGGGTAAAAATTCTTTCGTTTTGGTTGAACATATAGATGTTCTGCCCATAGATCCATTTGTTTCTGATTTAAGTTTCTAATTTAATTTAAATAATTTTTTTTTGCGCAAACAAAATCAAAAATCACCCTGATCATCTCTCTCATAAATATATAGCAGATGTTATTTAAAACAACATTTTACCAGCTGTTGGAAATTCCAAATTTATTTAAACAAATATGATTGCCATAATAACACACATACCCACCTAATATGCCAAACGCTTCGTTTTTGCGAGCAATGAACTTTTGAAATGATATTTGCCGCAAAAAAAAATTGTGTTTACATTTTGATAAGATATATATTTGTTGGTTCCTTGTTTTACTTTATGTTCCATACATATATATTTTTGTCTATATATGTATGTACAGCTGATACATATTTATGTCATCGCAAGTGTTAGCTTTTTTCAAAATTTTGCTTTCATTTTGTTTCCTTCATATCGGCGCCATGCCATTTTTTTAAACAATTTGTTGTTATTGTTTATATTCCGCATACAGCTCATTTGTTAAAAAATCATGATTTGGTTTTGTTATAAAATAACAACAACAACAATGAAATGGGAATAAAAAAGCTAACATTTCTATTTTTTTGCAAAACGACCGATAAGATAAGTAACCTAACCCACTGTCCCGAACAGACTTAAAGAAAGAGAAAAAAACAATAACAACAAAGAAATGAAAATAAAAACAAAACAAAGAGTTTTATATTTTCTTTTTTTTATCAATATAACACTTTTGTTGTTATTGTTATGTTTATATATGTATATCAGATATTTAAAATACAATTTCTTACACTTTTCTTACTCACTCACCCCTTTTTTCTCCTCGTGTATTTGCAGATTAAGAAATAAACAACAGACAGAAATCAAACAAATACGCAAAGAAAAATTGTGCGTGTGTGTTTCTTTGGCTTTGCTTTAAACAGCTGGGCCCGGTCTTTTTGGCGCACTCACCCGTCCGTCAAACATTATCAGCTAGTCGTCGGTGGCCTGCCATCATCACCCACCACCGATCAACAACCAACCAGTCTTTGTCGTAGACTTGAACAACATGGGTCAGTTGGTGGTAAAATTAGCGGAACCGGTCAGCAATGTAGCCGATATATTGGGCGGTCGTCGCAAACGTAAACGCAGCATTGATTCACTGAAAACAAACAGCGAGGAATCGAACAATGAAACCCAGTCCCCCAAAAAGTATGTCAACATTTTTCTATTTTGTTTTGTTTGATCATTTGACATTTAACTTTTACTTTTTTCTTCTCGCCCTCCATTGCAGGAAAAAGCTATTGACCACAACGCAATATATTTATCAGGCCCTCTTTAAGGAACAGAAAAATTCCGATATAGCCATTATGGCATTGGGTAAAGTCTGGAATTTGCATAAAGTCTATCTATCGCAAAGTCCATATTTCTATAGCATGTTTAATGGCTCGTGGAAGGAATCGTGTCAGGATTTTGTTCACATTAAAATTTTGGATGAACGCATTACACTGGATGGTAAGTAAAACATTTTGTATTTGTAGTTGAATAATTGAGAATTATTTGCAGGGTATTATTTTATATTCTCAAGGAGATGGTTAAAAAGAAGAGTACAGGGATAATGGATTCCTTTGTTTAAATAACGGACTTATTCGAATTCTCTTTGTGTCACCACTTTCTGTTAAACAAAGACCAGTAAGACTCACCAATACTCTGAATCATTTGGTGTGTACATCTTTGTCCTAGACACGTTGATTTTAGTTAACGGTTTATTCCGACTGTACCGTGTCAGAAACGCCCATTTCATTGCATAGCAATTTACATTTGAATATGGATTTATCTAGGAATGTAATAGTTTTGAACAATGTGGTAATGAAACGTCAACAAAAAATTAAAATGTTCATCGAATCGAAAAGTAAAAAGTCTTTGGGTCAATGTGGTAATGCGTTGTCCCATAAGATTGGCGCCATCTCTCCTCAAATTGATCGAATCAAGCCGTACAGCATGTACAAGGAGCGTCACACCAAATCGTAGAATTTAAATTACACTTTTCCGCAGGCATTAGGTTTTCAACACCCAATAGATCGGAAAAGGTCAACAGCTTTTCCACTTGGATTTTTTAAAAAATTCTAGTTTAATTCTAGGTATATGTGAGCTTGGGAGATTGGATAGAAGTCCATTGGGATAGCTGGAAAAATATTTTTAGGTCAATGTCTTAACCTTTTACTTTTGGAATGTAAAGAATATGAGAGAATTTTTCTCTCAAACACTCCAAGAGCGTTAGGAGCCTTTAGGTGTGGATTTTCAATGAATATTTTCAGGTTAATATCTTAGCCTTAGAGGCGTGGATTTTTAAGCATATTTTCAGGTTAATCTCTTAGACTTAGAGGCGTGGATTTTTAAGCATATTTTCAGGTTAATCCTTAGCCTTAGAGGCGTGGATTTTTAAGCATATTTTCAGGTTAATCTCTTAGACTTAGAGGCGTGGATTTTTAAGCATATTTTCAGGTTAATCCTTAGCCTTAGAGGCGTGGATTTTTAAGCATATTTTCAGGTTAATCCTTAGCCTTAGAGGCGTGGATTTTTAAGCATATTTTCAGGGTAATCTTTTAAGCATATTTTCTGGTTAATCTCTTGGCCTTAGATGTGTGGATTTTTATGCATATTTTCAGGGTAATCTTTTAAGCATATTTTCTAGTTAATTTCTTAGCCTTAGATAATTTACCATGGCATCTTGGCCTTAGATGTGTGGATTTTTATGCATATTTTCAGGGTAATCTTTTAAGCATATTTTCTAGTTAATTTCTTAGCCTTAGATGTGTGGATTTTTATGCATATTTTCAGGGTAATCTCTTAGCCATAGAGGCGTGGATTTTTAAGCATATTTTCAGGGTAATCTTTTAAGCATATTTTCTGGTTAATCTCTTAGCCTTAGATGTGTGGATTTTTATGCATATTTTCAGGCTAATCTCTTAGCCTTAGAGGCGTGGATTTTTAAGCATATTTTCAGGGTAATCTCTTAGCCTCATAGTCGTGGATTTTTGAAATTCTTGACAATATGCAGTCCTTGGAGTCCTGATTACGACGATTTAGCTTTTTTGCTATTTTCCATGATATGTACTTTCCAAGTATTTTCCCTGTTCCATTTTATCGAAAAAGTCCATACTATTCTATTTAAAATGAAATTCTGTCGCGTATCCTGTGTATCGTATCGCGTATCGCCCACCCACAAATAAACGATTCTATTTAAAAGTAGATTCTATCCCGTTGTCGATTTTGGCATTTATACTTAAAAAAACTCTATATAAGGGTTCCAGTGGAATTTTGCAAGCCCATGTCGATTTTGGCATTTATCCTAGGAAATATATAAGGATTCCAGTGGAATTTTGTAAAACCATATATAAAGCAGGAATTCTCCAATAAAAATTGAATTGTGGTAATCAGAACATTAACCGCTGTTGATACTACGATTTCCCTAGTGAACTTGAAATACCATGGAGAAATACAAGCTATTCAGCTGGATCCCAATATCTCAGGAAGTATGAATTGACATATCGTTGTAATTATAGCCTTTAGGACGTGCTAAAAAAATTATAAGCGAACTTGAATTGTTCCATCGACTCATTTTTCCTTTTTTTGTTATTCCAGACCCTAAGAATAAAATTCTAAGACGATTTTTGTGTGTCCGTCTATGTGCCTTTCTGCTGTAATCATTCTAATATTCAAATAAGTTAAGTTCGGAATAGCCTAAAAAACGCATTGTTTACAGCTTTGGGAATTTTGGAGACGTTTTTTAGTTCGACGGGGGAGTTATATGGGGACTCTACCTAATAGTGGGCCGAAAAGGAGAAGCATCTTAAGTATTATCAAAAAAGCCACAAAATCTACCAATCTCTAACTGAATATATTTTTTTCTATTAGGCCTATATTTTGGCTTACATTGGATATAAGGAACTTATTTTATAACGAACAAATTTCCTAGGTCCCTACGATTTCGCTATAACCGTACTCGAATGTATACATAATAATCCTAACGGTTCTTTTATGAAGTGACTCATAATTCCAATTAAGACCTACACGTTTTTTTAATATATCAATTCTTAAACACGAGCTGATATGATTTATATGCCTAAGACTATGTCAACGACAATAAGACAATCATATCGCAACATACATACATATATACGAACATTGATAACTCAAGAGAAACATTTTCATATGCCATATGGCAAAAAACCTAATCAAATTTTTTATGCTTGTTGCTAAGGGGGTCTCACCTTTTATCTCATCAATCTGCTGCCTACCTGTTCATTGACCGTGACCATGATATAGAAAACAATCTTATCAAGGCTCAATATGTCTAAAAAAGAAATCAGGAAGAAAGAGAAAAAATCTAGTTAAATTATTATTAAATACTTTTTCCTTAACTTCTGCAAATCCTGTAATCATTTCATTTTAGTAATTCTAACACAAAGGCTCAAAATGTTTGTATTACATACTTATTTTATGTCCACCACATATCAGTCAATTGGACATACACTTATGCCAGTCAAGGCCTGTTGTACGTTATAGAAATGAAAAAGTTAGAAAAGCTTTTTATTAGTCTGTCAATCCTTGTTGAAATTCTGTGTTCTCAGTGTAGACCTTCAACATTTTTTATTCGCCCACTTTATAACTAATTTTTTATGAAATCTCTACATCAAATTATTTCTTTTGTGTTCCAATAATTGATTGTACATTGACCCTGGTCATGATTTTAAATCTGCTATATTTCTTATCTGCTAGGGTAGGCTTTTCAAGTGTAATCTCCATCCTAATTAGCCTTTATCACAATGGTATAAAATAAAATTTATTGTTGTACATTGACCGTGACCATGATATAAATCTGAGGATTATAACCAGTAGGGTTTTCAAATGTAATTGTTTCCAATTTATAGAAATCTCTGGCATAAAATTTCTTTATCTCAATGGCCTAATAATTGATTGTATACTGACTATGACCATTATGAAGTATAAATTTTGAATAATATCAAGGATAATACACAACAAAAAGTCCCCTAAAAATCCATATTTTCTTATTATTGATGCGTATTTTGAACTCTATCGAGTTTATTTCATCTCCTCCCTGGTTAATAGATACAACAAAAAGATTTCTTAAAATCGACCAGTTTAATTCAACCTACCCAGCTGATAAATTTTGATCGAATTTTTATTTATTTACCTTGTTAGGAGACACCAAAAAGACTAAAAAGTAATAGACACCAAAACTTCTTCTAAACTATAGTTTATTTTTTATTTTTTTTTATTGATTCGTATTTAGAACCCGATCGAATTTATTTTATCTCCTTTAAATCGAATTAATTAGAACTCTACCGCTGCTATATGCTGTTCAAATTTATTTTATCTCCCTAGTTAAGAGACTCGAAGAAGACTTCTTAAAATCGACCATAGATTTTTTATTGACCAAGATAATTTTCGCATTTTGAAACTCGACCTATTTTACTTTATCACTCGGAACTGATAAATGGTGTTTTATTGACATGATTATTTTGTATATATAATCAAGCAGTGTTATCAAGTCTACGAAATGTCTAGAATAATAAGAGGGGCTCCTCAAGTGGGTCATAAATTTCAAAATTTGCAAAAAAAAGTATCTATCTTGGCTGGTGGGAATGTTATGGTCAATATAGATAATTTGAAAATAGATTTTGTTTGTAAGTGATAGTCTATTTTTTTCTTATTAGAATCCGAATGTAAATAGTCGAAGACACACAGACCAATTTCCATGGTCCCAATTTTATAGTTTGTAGGTGAGAGAGTTTGAGGGAAATTTCGACTTTTCTTGCTCAAAAACTGAAAACTATCGCAAAAAACCAGTAAGGAAAGTAGTAAAGTCGGACTTTTCGAAAAAAAAACATAGATATTACATTGAACGAACTTGAATATGTGATATTTATGCCTTTCTAACTCAATTCAGTACGCTGTGCCAAATTTCGTGCAAATCGATAGATATATAGGGACTTTAGTGCATCATTTACATTAAATCGGACGAAAATATATATGGGAGCCAAATCTGAACCGATTTGCACCAAACTTAGCACACATCATTCTAGACTCAATTCAGTACGCTGTGCCAAATTTCGTGCAAATCGAAAGATATATAGGGACTTTGGTACACAATTTACTTTAAATTGGATGAAAATATATATAGAGCTATATCTAAATCGGAACCGATTTTCATGAAACTTAGCACACATCTTTATAGACTCAATGTAGTACGCTCGAAATCGAAAGATATATAGGGACTTTGATGCACCATTTACCTTAAATCGGGCGAAAATATATATGGGAGCTATATCTAAATCTGAACCAATTTTCACGAAACATAGCACACATCTATCTAGACTTAATTCAGTACGCTTTGCCAAATTTCGTGCAAATCGAGATATATTTAGGGACTTTGGTGAGCCATTTACTTTAAATCGGACGAAAATATATATGGGAGCTATATCTAAATCTGAACCGATTTCCCCCAATTTCAATAGGGAGGCCAAACAAGTTCTTACCAAATTTCATCCAAATCGGATTATAAATGCGACCTGTACTTTGTTTACAATTTAACATGAAACAGGAGCGGACACAAGTTAAGTTTGTTCTCAAAAGGGACCATGTGTTATTTTCCTTTTCTGTTAGGAATAACAAAGCAATACAATTTAATTAACAGATCCATGCACATGTTTACTTGACCTTCTCTTAAAGCTTGTCAGATCTCATAATTGATAGATTGGGACTTTCAATTGTCTCTGTGCTTAATACGCGAATTTTACTCCTCCATTCTATTTCAGTTATAAATTTTGATATATCTAAATTTTTTTCTGAATTTTTAATAATTCTTTTATTCCATTTCTCTTTTCCAGCTTTGGATGCCGTTTTTGGTTCCATGTATTCCGATGAAATTGAAATCGATGCCAAAGGTGTGATTTCCGTATTGGCCACCGCCACCCTATTCCATTTAGATGGCATCATCGACAAATGTGCTGAGGTTATGATTGAGTCAATAAATGCTGAAACTGCCATTAACTATTATGAAGCTGCCTGTCAATATGGCTGTCAAAATGTTAAAAAATCAGCCTTTGTATGGCTGGAGACAAATCTCCTCTGTATATATACAAAATATCCAAATTTACTAAGGCAAATTAGTATTGAACTAATGACCGATTTAATATCAAGTCCAGATCTTTATGTTATGCAAACAGAATTCTCATTATATACGCTATTGCGTAATTGGATCTATTTACGCTTACATCCCAATTATGATCCAGAAAATCCACAGCATCAAGCTCAGCAGCAGGAGGAATTAAAATTGCTGCAGCAACAACAGCAAACAAATGAATCGAATAATTCGTCATCATCCTCCTCCTCATCCTTAACATTATCAAATTCACCAGCGGATCGTCCACCTTTAACATCAAATGATATTGTACAAAACTTTTTCACTGCGCGTCGTGAAAAGCGTTCCTTCCTCTCCACTCCGGATGGTCAACAATTTTTGAAACCATTCCTGGCACTGCGTACTCAGTACCTTACCAATCATCATATGGACTTGAAAATTGTACTTAACGACAATATTATACCCAAAGAATGGCTGCACAATCATGTCTTAAGCAATTGGAATTCAATACTCAAAGTTGATCATTTACCAGAAGAGGGGTGAGTAAGAGAAAAAATAATAATAATCAACAAGAGACAAAGAAAGGTGTGGAGGGTGAAGAATTCGCATAAAATCCTCTCCAGATCTTTGTTCCATTAGCTATTTTAATTGATTTTTTTGGTTTATAATTTATTTTCTTTCTTCTCTCTTGCATATATTTTTTGTAGTAAAAAACGATGCTAGTGATTTATGAAAATCTAAATACACATCAACTAGTCCAACATCTCATCGTAGTCGTTGTCGGTCGTTACAGACTCTCTTTGTTTAACGTAATCTTTGTTACGTTACATTTGCATTGCGCATTTTATTCAAAATGAAACCAAAGTTCAAATGTAATTGCCGCCATAAAGAAAACATCTTTTATTTTCGCCTTCTTCTTCATCATCGTACCTAGTAATTGAAGTTGATTTTTTTTATTTCTCCTTTTGACATACATACATATAAAATATATATATAGACTTGCAATTGTTTGCTTTTAGTTCAATGCCTTGCATTTAAAACGAAAAAATAAGATTGAATTCTCATTGTGTTATATTTTTTATATAGTTGATAATGGTTTTATGAGTTTTTATTTTTTATTTTATATATGAATGACTGAATAAATTTTTAATTTCTTTTAACATGTTTTTTTTTTTTAAAAAAAGATTTTTTAGTTTTTTTTCTGTTCTACTCTGGGTTAGGGGGTGTTTCTTTTTTGGGGGAGATAATAAATTTCTAAGATTTCATATTCACATCTTTGTGGAAGAAAGCAGGATTGAGTAGAAATAATATTGAGGGGGAAATACGTCTATGATATGATGAACTATATTGTATATAAATCTTTTTGCCAAAAAAGCAAACTTCTTCAGATATATAAATCCTAAAATAATTATGACGACAAGGCATCGTTCTTGTTCATTTCTGAATAAACTTTTTCTAAACTTCAATGAAATAGAAAAAATAGACACCTGCATTTTTCAATCAATCCTATTATTTTTTCTGGAGAAATTTGATGGGTGTTAAGTTTCCTGAAAATCGGTTCAGATTTAGATATAGCTCCCATATATATTTTCGTCCATGATTTTAAATCTGCTGTATTTCTTATCTGGGGTAGGCTCTTCAAGTGTAATCTCCATCCTAATTTGCCTTTATCACAATGGTATAATATAAAACTTATTATTGTACATTGACCCTGACCATGATATAAACCTGACGATAATAACGAGTAGGCTCTTCAAATGTAATGGTTTCCTACTTATAGAAATCTCTAGCATAAAATTCCTTTATATCAATGACCAAATAATTGACTGAACATTGACCGTGACCATTATGAAGTATAACTTTTAAATCTTATCAAGGATAACAGACAACAAAAAGTCTTCTAAAAATTTACCACAGTTTCTTATTATTGATACGCATTTAGATCTCGATCGAATTTATTTTTTAAAGATACAACAAGAAGACTTCTTAAAATTTATCAGTTTAATTTTAAAACTCAACATAGCGAGCTGATAATTTTTTTTTTTCGAATTTTCATTTATTTCCCAACAAGACTCCTCCTATATATCGAGGATAGAGTATAACTTTTAAATCTTATCAAGGATAATAGACCATAAAAAGTCTTCTAAAAATCTACCATAGTTTTTTTTATTGATCCGTATTTAGAATTCGTTAAAATCGGTTCATATTTAGATATAGCTTCCATATATATTTTCGTCCGATTTAAAGTAAATGGTGCACCAAAGACCCTATATATTATTCGATTTGCACGAAATTTGGCATATCGTACTGAATTGAGACTAGACTGATGTGTCTAAAATTCCCTCCTTTCACTCCTTGGCTCATAAAAAAAAAGAAACTCCCAGTCCTCACTTTTTTGCAAGCCGACAGCCATTTGTGTAACAGCAATTGCCAGAGGACATTTCTGATAGTGTTTCGTTGGCCCATGAGTTTCTATCCGGTATCAGACTTTCACATGAGGTGATTACTCTTGTTTCAGGTATTCGGTCTAAATCTAAAGTGCTGATTGAGGTTCCGATTGTAGCTTGTTGTATATTATTGAGCTGTATATAGTGTGTCCGGTACCAATCCACCCGTTCATTGTTTCATTACCGAAATTCCTACCATCAGTGTGGAATGGAGACGAATTTGGGAATGGTGTGTCCGGTACCAATCCACTCGTTCATTGTTTCAATCCCTACCATCGGTGTGGAAAGGAGACTAATTTGGGAATTGTGTTTATGCGAAGATCCCTCCATGCCAAAATCTCTTTTTTTGCTTGACCTTTGCCTCTACATTTCTATGCTCTGTACCATAGCATGGAGGAGGGTATATTGACTGTCATTCCGTTTGTACCTCCTTAAAATAATAATTTTGTTTCTAGAGAGAGAAAATAGTAAGCCAGATAATAATAAGGCCTTTAAAAAATCTCCAACTCTTTTTAGACTTTTAAAAATGTCCTTTAAAAAAGCTACGCCAAAATCTTCGCCTATTTTTAGGCTTTTAAAAATTTCCTTTAAAAAAGTTACGCCTATTTCTTCTCCTAATTTAAAAATCTACGCCTCTTTTTAGGCTCTTAAAAATGTCATTTAAAAATCAACGCCAATTTTTACGCTTTTAAAAATCTACGCCTACATTTAGGCTTTTAAAAACTTTTAAAAAATCCACGCCTATTTTTAGTCTTTTAAAAATCTACGCCTATTTTCAGGTTTTTAAAAATGCCCTTTAAAAATCGAAGCCCATTTTAGGCTTTTAAAAAGGTCTTTTAAAAATCTTCGCCTATTTTTAGTCTTTTAAAAATTTTCTTTAGAAAAACCAGACCTATTTTTAGGCTTTTCAAAATGTCCTTTAAAACTCTACGCATATTTTTAGGCTTTTAAATGTCCTTTAAAAATCTATGCCTATTTTTAGGCTTTTAAAAATGTCATTTAAAAATTCACGCCTATTTTTAGGCTTTTAAAATGTCCTTTAAAAATCGAAGCCTATTTTTAGGCTTTTAAAATGTACTTTAAAGATCCAGACCTATTTTTAGGTATTTAAAAAATATTTTTAAAAAATCCACACCTACTTTTAGGGCTTTAGAAAATCCAAACCTACTTTTGGGCTTCTAAAAAATGTTTTTTTTTTTTAATATTAATGCATACTTTTAGACCATTAGAAATGTTTTTAAAAAATCGAAGTCTACTTTTAGGCATCAGTTGTATTTTTAAGTATCCAATATTTTTTTATATAATATAATTTCTTTATAATTTTATAATAATTGTTCTTTCTCGCTCTTCCTTTTCAGTCCCAAAAATCTCGATCCTGAAGAATTCTTTAAAAACTGCATGCGCTGTGGTCGGATCCTTTTGGAGCCTGGCTATCAAAAATGGCGTTGGACAGGATTTAATTTTGGATTAGATCTTATACTAATTGCCGATTCTCGTATACTTAGCATTCGCCGACATCATCGTAACGAGCACGAGCGTCTGTTGAGTTTACAAACTAAACGGCAATTTATGATAAGGTAAGCTCCAAAAATGAAATAAAAAACAATTAATTTTGATATTAAAAGTCATTTTCTTTTTTAGAGCCTCGGTAACATCCATTAACAGCCAACGTCAACCCGTCTATACACAAAAATCCGATATTACATCATTGTGTTTGGAGAAAAACGAAGAGGTGACACTTATGGTTATGGATTCGAAATTAGTCCATCCACTATTGATCTCAGTTAATGTACTCGTTGTGCCACCGGCACCGCAAACGTTCAAAGAAAATCTGCTAATCTGTGATGAATTTGCCAATGTTTCGTCTGTGCCGATATCGGAAATTGGTGCAAATTGTGAAAGATCTGCCACGCCGACCAGCAGTAGCAGTTGTGGTATGATGGATGACGGCAATGCTGTTTGTTTGGTACCACCTTCACCACCAAATGTGGCAGCTGCTGCTGCGGCGGCTTATGCTTTACCCTCATCAATGGCGGCCAGTCATCGTTCAGCATCGGCCACATCGACATCATCATCATCAACTGCCTCAAGTTCTTCATTTTCATCTACAGATTTTCTGTAGAGTATTGGAGTAATTTTTTTTTGTATTTTTGTTATATGAATATGAAGGACGGGGAAGAGAATGCTGCAATTTTTACAAAATATTTTTTTAACTCATAAATATACTAAAGAAAACGGTGCTTTGTATTGAGAAAAGAAATTCAAGTGAATTATTTTTTTTTATTTTCAAAAAGAAAAACAAAATCGCCATATACATAAATATTAATGTGCTTTTGCGGCACTCTCGTTGTATAATTCATAATAAATGATTAAATGATATATGTATCATTGGGATTGATTCCAAATTATTAACATTTTTGTTATATGTATTTTTTTATATTACATTGTAAATATTAGAAATTTATATTATATATAAATAATATTTCTTCCTTATATATTAAAAAAATCTAATCAAAATGCTCGCATATTTCAAAACCCAAGAAGAATAGTTCACTTTCGTTAAAGTGAATTACTCTTTTTTTGTGTCTTATATACATTTTAAAATATACCTACTTTTGTAAAATAAATTTCTTGAAATCTATAAATGTGTGTTTTTCAAATTTTTATTGAAAACAAAAATAATTATAATAATAACATTTGCCATAAATCATCTGTGTATTTACATATATATACATTTTTCTATAATTAAGTATTTTTTCTCTTAATTCAAGCAAATATAATCAAAAACATTTTCTTTTGAAATATAATACTAACTACTATTTTTTTATATATCTACATATATTACATTTAATATTAGTTTTATAATATTTTTTATAAATTAAACACTTTTTTTGATATGAAAACAAAATCGCGCACAAGAATTGAAAAAAACACAATTTTGTATTTGTTTAGAAAAACATAATATTTGAAATTTTTCAAAAAAAAAAATCATCTTTTATTTCAAACTAAAAAAATGTGAATATTTGCAAAATTAAAAAAAAAATATATTTAAAAAATATTTCAAATTAAAAAAATGTGTGCAAAATTTAAAATCTTTTTTTTTTATATTAAAAATTTTATTGAAATATATATTTAAAATTTTCAAAAGTCAATTGCATTTAAAATTTTCTAATTAAAAAAAAAATTAAAATCTTTTATTAAAATTGAAATTTAATATATAAAAAATATTATTTTAAAAAACGTATTGAAAATATCACATAATTTAAAAAAAATCACATTTAAAAATTTTTTTAAAAATAAATTCAAAAATATATTTTTTGAAAACATTGAAAAATTAAAAATAATTTATAATTAAGAGATCAACAACTTTTTGAAAATTTCTCCTTTCAAACTTGAAATGCATTCACATTTTTATAAAGAAGAAGATTTTTTTGTAACAAAATTTTCTTTTCGTAATTTATTTCATTATTTTTTATTGTATAAAACTAAAAAAACACTTGTTATATAATTTTGATATTGTTTTTTGTAATTAAAAAATAAATTGTATGGAAAATATCATAATTTTAAAGTAGTTTTATTTTGAGGGGGAGGCTTATGTCCTTGTGCCTATGTTTGTAACAGACAAAAAAAACAGTTATATAATTTTGACCCATGGTTTTTTGTAATATAAAAAATACATTGTATGGAAAATATCACAATTTTAAAGTAGTTTTATTTAGAAAGGGTGGCATATGTCCTTATGCCTATGAAATTGAGAAAATTGAAATTGAGAAAAATACCTAAGTCCTTACATATATTTCGATATGCACGAAATTTGGCAGTCTAGAATGATGTGTATCAGTTTTTTTTAAAAATCGGTTCAGATTTAGATATAGCTGCCATATATATTTTCGCGCGATTTAATGTAAATGGTGTACCAAAGTCCCTGTATCTCTCTCGATTTGCACGAAATTTGGCATAGCCAACTGAATTAAGTATAGAACGATGTTTGTTAAGTTTCGTGAAAATCGGTGCAGATTTAGTTATAGCTCCCATACTGAATTAAGGCTGGAATGATGTGTGCTAAGTTTCGTAAAAATCGGTTTAGATTTAAATGGTAAATGGTGCTCCAAAGTTCCAAATATTTTTCAAAAAAAAAAAATAAACAAGAATTCAAAATGTTTTCATAATAAAAATAAATTAAGAAAAACATTTTACATTTTTTTACAAATAAAATAGATTTTTAAAATTGGAATTTTTTGTTCATTATTTGAAATTCCCAAAATCATCTGATTTTTTCTTGAAAGTGATGGCTTTAAGACTGACTGGTTTTAAATTTCAATAAAACACGTTTTGTTTAGAGGGTGGTTGTTTTTTTTTTTAATTTTTATTGTTTATTTTTTGTTTTGTTTTTTAAGAAATACATAAATAAATTCCAAAAAAAATTATTGTTTTTATTATTATGTATATAATTATTATTTTCAGTAAATATAATAAAAAAAAATTATTAAATAAAAAAAAATACAATGAACAACAACTTATAAAAAGGGATGATAACACCTGCATACCTTCTTTTTATATATATAGGAAACAAACATAAAAATTATATATAAATTTACAATACAATAGTATTTGTTATTTTTTTTAATTCTTTCAATTTAATTTAACAAACAAATTAGCTAATAATTATTATTATTTTTTTTTAAATTTTATTTTAAATATTCTATAATGTATATATCTGTATAGGTATATGTTTGCTTTAAAGGTTATGTATATATTTTTTATTATTATATGTATAAGGAAATGTCGTGTGCCTTAAACAAACAGAAAAATATCTTTTTTATTATTAATTCGTCTTTTTGTTTTGTGGGTTATTTAAAAAAAAAAAAACAAATTGCTTATTTTTTGCTAAGAGGGAGGAGTGTTGGAGGAAGGGAAGAGAGGTGGAGGATTATATATGTATATAAAATTTGTTAAATTTTGTAATACTCTTAATAATTAGAAATATAACAATTTTATTGTTATCTTTCTTTTTGAAAAAACAAGTAACAAAGCCAATTTTTATTAATAGTTTTTTTTTTCTTTTTGTATAAATAAATTTTTTAACATTTTAAATATAAACATTTTTTATATATAGAGTAGTAGTATATAGGGTATGGTGGTGGTGTGGTTATTTTGTTTTTTGTTCTTTTTTTAGTAATAAAATAATTCGGGAAAGTTGGTTTCATAAATCGGTTTCTCATTTTGGTTAGTGGCATTCTGTGGAGTCTTGTTGTCAATTGATAGGGAATTGAAGAGGTCATTCAAACGATTTTGGATGACATCGTGCTGGAAAGAAAAAAAATTTAAAAAGACAATGTTAGTAAAATATACACAGATTTGAGATGTAAGAACACTATTCAAATGGATTATTTAAAGATTATTTTTCAATGCCTAAAAAAGTCTTCAAGGCTTGGATTTTTTAAAAAATATTTTTCAAAACCTAAAATAAGGAGTGGATTTTTTAAAGAATATTTTTCAAACCCTAAAATAAGCCGTGGAATTTTTAAAGAATATTTTTCAAAACCTAAAATAAGGCGTGGATTTTTCAAGGCTTGATTTTTTAAAGAATATTTTTCAAGGCTGGATTTTTAAAGAATATTATTGAAGGCCTAAAAAAGGCGTGGATTTTGTAAAGAATATTTTTCAAGGCTGGATTTTTAAAGAATATTATTGAAGGCCTAAAAAAGGCGTGGATTTTGTAAAGAATATTTTTCAAGGCTGGATTTTTTAAAGAATATTATTCAAGACCTAAAAAAATGCGTGGATTTTGTAAAGAATATTTTTCAAGGCCTAAAAAGTCTTTTTCAAGGCCTTGACAAAAGGCGTGGATGAAGAATATTTTCAAGGCGTAAAAAAGGCGTGGATTTTTTAAATCTAACAGTCGGTTTTACGATCTGAAACAACCCGATTCTTACTTGTCCAACGACTGTCATCTCACCCCCACTCTGTACAAAAAGTGAGTGGGCTACAACAACAACTTTTTCAAGGCCTAATCCCAGAAAAACTTGTTTGACAAATATCAAAACATTATCTAAAGAGGCAGGATGTTCTCGAGAAGGCTGTTCAGTAAGTCTGTCTTATTTTTCAAGGCCTTGACAAAAGGCGTGGATTTTTTGAAGAATATTTTCAAGGCGTAAAGGCGTGGATTTTTTAAATCCAACAGTCGGTTTTACGATCTGAAACTACCCAGTCTTACTTGTCCAACGACTGTCATCTCACCCCCACTCTGTACAAAAAGTGAGTGTTTAAAGGCTTCGATTTTTTTATAAACATTTTTTGAGGACTACTATTTATACCCTACACAACTATGTTGTCAGGGTATTATAGCTTTGTGCAGCCCCAAGAGTTTGTAGCGCCGCGAAATATTGGTCCTAGACCCACCTTTAAGTATACCGATCGTCATATCTCGACTAGCTGAGTCGATCTAGACATGTACTTCCGTCCGACCGTCTGTCCATTATAATTTGTAAACACGATACAGGCCACAGTTATGGACCAATCTTCACGAAATTTTGCATGTAGAATGGGTTCGG